CCAACCCTGCTGCTACTTAATCAACCAAGTTTATGTAATAATCTAAATATTTCGTTGTCGTTTCAACAACATTCACAGCATCTTACAGGAGTAGATTCCAGCTCAAGAAACCTCTGTCTTTCCTCATTTATAAGAAGCAACTGCTCATTCTTTCAAGTTTTATTGTGAAATTAAAGCAATTCAGTCACATCTTCAGCCTCCACTTCTCATTCCAGTTCTCTTGCTATCTCCACCACATCTGCAGGGACTTCCTCTGCTGAAGTCTTAAACCCCTCAAATTCATCCATGATGGAATCAACTTCTTCCAAACTCCTGTGAATGTTGATATTCTGACCTCCTTCCTAACTCATGTTCTTAATGGCATCTAGAATGGTGACTCCTTTTCAGGTTTTCAGTTTACTTTGCCCAGATCCATCAGAGGGATCACCACGTTACGGCAGCTTACAAAACGGAGTTTTCACATAATAAGCCCAAGTTACTCCTTGGCTCCTGAAATGCAGAACATACGCTGTATTCACAGGCATGAAAGCAATATGAATCTCCTTGTACATCTTCATCAGAGCTCTTGGGTGAGAAGGAGCATTGTCAATGAGCAGTAGTGTTTTCAAAGGAATCTTTTTTTCTGAGCAGTAGGTCTCAACAGTGGGCTTAAAATATTATGTAAACCATGCTGCAAACCGATGTGCTGTCGTCCAGGCTTTGTTGTTCCATTTATAGAGGACAGACAGAGTAGATTTAGCATAGTTCTTAAGGGCCCCAGGATTTTTGGAATGATAAATGAGCATTGGCTTCAATTTAAAGTCACCAGTTACATTAGCCCGTCACTAAAGAGTCAGCCTGTCCTTTGAAGCTTTGAAGCCACATTCTGACTTCTCTCTAGCTATGAAATCCTCCCAGATGGCATCTTCTTCCAAGAGGGGTATTTTGTCTAAATTAAAAATCTGTTGTTTAGTGTAGCTACCTTCTTCAAATATCTTAGCTTTATCTTCTGGATAACTTGCTGCAGCTTCCACATCAGCACTTGCTACTTCACTTTGTACTTTTTTGTTATGGAGATGGTGCCTTTCTTTAAACCTCATGAACCAGCTCATGCTAGTTTCAAACTTATTTTCTGCAACTTTCTCACCTCTCACAGCCTTTGTAGAATTGAAGAGAGTTAGGATCTTGCTCTGGGTTAGCCTTTAGCTTAAAATAATGCTCTGGCTGGTTTGACTCAAACTTTCTCCATATCAGAATAAGGCTGTATTGCTTTCCACCATTTGTGCTTTCACCGGAGTGGCACTTTTAATTTTCTTCAAGAACTTTTTACACATTACATACATGTATCAAAATATCACACGTGCCTTAAAAATACGTACAACTATGATATATCAATTTTTAAAACAATTTTTTAAAGAAAGGAAAAAATAACCTTTCATCTGCATTCACAATTTGGCTACTTGGCGCCAGAGGCCTAGCCTTCAGTTTGTCTTGACTTTTGACATACCTCCCTTGCTAAGCTTAATAATTTTTAGCTTTTGATTTAAAGTGAGAGATGTACAATTCTTTCTTTCACTTGGACACTTAGAGGCCACTGTAGGGTTATTACTGGCTTAATTTCATTATTGTTGTGTCTCAGGAAATAGGGAGGCCCAAGTAAAGGCAGAAAGATGGGAGAATGACTCGTCAGTGGAGCAGTCAGAACACACATAATATTCATCAATTAAGTTTACAGACTCATAAGAGAACGGTTTGTGGTACCCCAAAATTATTATAATACTAGCATTGAAGATCACTGGTCACAGATCACCGTAACAAACATAACAATAACGAAAAAGTTTGAAATGTGAGAATTAACAAGATGTGACCCGGGAGACATGAAGTGAGCACATGTTGTAAAAAAGGCACCATGTATCTACTCAATACAGGATTGTCACAAGGTTTCAATTTGTAGAAAATGCAGTAACTGAGAATTGAAATAAAACAAAGCACAATAAAATAAGATATGCCTGTATACCTTCAGTTTAGTTGATACTGCCAAATAGCTGATCAGCATGGTTGCATTGATTTACAGTGCCATTAGATGTGTGTAAGTTACTTTCAGTTGCTTTGCATTCTTACTGCCCTTTTTGTTGCCTGTATTTCAAGTTTAGCCATTCTAGTAAACATGTAGAGGTGTCTTCTTGCAGTTTGTATTTGCATTTCTCTGTTTTCCTGTGGGTACTTGGTTATCTTTTGTTTCATACCACTCAGTTATATCCATGTTCATGTTGGCTTATTTGCTTTTGATTGTCATTTCACAGCAGTACTTTATATTCTGGGTAAAAATTCTTTGTCTGATATATGTGGTGCAAATAATTTCTCCCACTCTGTTGCTTGCTTTTTTTCTCCCATAATGGTGTCTTTAGATGAACAGAAGTTTTTAATTTTAATGTAATCTAACTTACTCTTTTTTTCTTTTATGGCTGGTGTTTATGAAATCTTTGCCTATTTCAAGGTCATGACATATGATCCTAAGTATTCTCCTAAAAGCTTTATTTTTTTACCTTTCACATTTAGATCTACAATCCAACTAGAATTGAATTTTGTGGATTGTGTGAGATAAAAGTTCAACACTTATTTGTTTTCAAATGGATATCCAATTGACCTAGCACCATTTATTGAAAAAAATAATTGTTATCCTTTCCCCAATGCACTGCAGTGTCAGCTTTGTCAAACATCAGGTGTCATGATGTGTTTGGGTCTGTTTCTGAATTCTAATTTGTTCCCTACTGGTTTATTGTCTATTCTTGCATTCATACCTGTCTGTTAGTCACTATTAAATATGGTAGTTCAGGTTCTAAAGTTATGTTATTCTTCAAAATTGCTATTCTTAACCCTTTACATGTTGCATACATTTTAGGATCAGCTTTTTCAAAATACAAACACACAAACACATACACATACTGCTGGGAGAGTGATTAGGACTACAGTGAAACTATAGATCCATCAGAGGAGAATTGACATCTCTATACGATTCAGTCTTCATGCCAATTCATCAGCGTGGCATATGCCTCCATTTATGTAGATATTCTTTAATTTATCACAATAATATTTTGCAGTATTTAGTGTGGAATATCCTTAGTATGTTTTGCTACCAAGTACTCTATATATTTTATTCTTTTGTAGATGATATTTTTAGTATTTTATCTTTTATGTTTTTTGGTTGATTTATAGGAATACAATTGATTTTTGTATAGTGTCCTTTTACTAGTGGCCTTGCCAAATTTCTTGTCTGATTCCAATAGGTTGTAGTTTTTTTGGACTTTATACAGATGATAATGTCAAATTCAGTTAATAACAGATTTATTTCTTCCTTTCTGTGGGTAGGACAATGAAAGATAACCACCAATTAAAAACTGAATCTAATTCTCTTCTTCCTGCCTTTCTTCCCTTGATCTACTAATGGCCTTTATACTTGATTTACCAATAGCACATGGCAAAGGTGAAGTCGGGCCAATTTTGGGGATAGGCATTACTAGAACTGGCAGCTTTTACCTTGCCCTATTGGGTCCCTGAACTGTCACATAAAAAATAAAGTATTCATACCCTTTCTCCTACTAATTCCACTTTTGTATGACTCAAACATAAAAAAATAAAAATAGAAAATGCAGACAAAACATCATGCACAAAATTGTTATTGGCTATGGTGCAAAACTATATGTAGCCTAATTGACTAATAAATGGTTACGTAATTTAAAATAAAATAAAATGAAATGAAACTACTCTGAGACTTTCATTCTGTAAGGAATTATGATATATAGTAAAAAATAATTATGATATATAGTAAAAATGCTGTTGTTTTAAGTCATTAGGTTTGGGCATAATTTTCTATAAAGCAATATATTTAAGTTCATGAAATGTTGACCAGAAGTGGGGGCAGTAGCCAGACTTATACTTTTCCTGAACACAGAGGGAAAGAATTGAATATTTTCCCATTAATTATGATGGTACTATTGGCTTTTCTTCCTTTTTTGTAAATAGTAATGCATTCCAGATCAAGAGGTTTTCCTTATATTCTCAGATATTGCTAAGAATTTTCATGAGTAGGTTTTTAAATTTTTTAATAAGAAAATGATTTTCATTTATTATGTTAATATGAATTACATTGATCTTTGAGTGTTATATAAACCTTGCATTCCTGAAATAAACCCGATTTGTTGTGTTTTTATCCTTTTATAATACTGTAAGAGTCCTTTTGATCATATTAGTTTAGAATTTTTGTATATATATTTATTACTGAGATTGGCCTTCAATTTTTATTTTCCAAAATGCCTTTATGGATTTGATATACAACTAATTATAGCTTTATAGAGTTCAATAGTGTTATTAATTTTTTAATATTTAGAAAATTTTGTCTAATAATTTTTGTTATTGAGCATTGCTTGTTTAAAAAATCTACTGCAAAAACCATCTAGACCTCAGCTTACAAGAGTGAAACTCCATCTCAAAAAAAAAAGACGAATTTACATTTTTCTCCTATAAAACTCTAAAACTCACCTCTTTCATGAGTCATTCATAGCAAGTATTTATTTAACTCTGATTACAGTAACAAACTCACAAATTTCTTGGGACTTACATACAATTTTGATTAATTTATAATTTATATTTAATAAAACTGATTTGTCATTCTTAGTAATAATAACCTGAAGTACTTGTATGTGCCAGGCATCATAAAAAGGTTAAATCGTTTTCCCAATATCATATAATACATAATTGTTGACCAAGAATCAAATGTGGTTTGATTTTAATCCAAAGCCTGTGCTCTTGACCGTGATGCTATGATTCTTCACAGAGCAAATCTGCCTTCTTGTTTAATTCTTGCAAGAAGCAAAGATTAATCTGCCCAAAACCACATGAAAGATGGTCACTTAATTTATAATCTAAAGTTTAATTGTAAACTTCTTGTCAGATTTTTTTTGCTACTTCTCAAATCACAGATATGGAACAAACCCAATTAATGCTGACTTCCTAAACCACAGGCTAATACATCTGACCACACCGGCTCTGCAAGACCATGACTGAAGATTGCTTAAATGTTGTCCCTGAGTGAATATCTTAACATTTATTGCATCTTTCATTTTCTTAACAAAAATGAAGGAGTTTGTGACTGCGTTGGTAAGTTATTTAGAGTGAAAATATACTATATACTGCTATAAATAAATCTACTTATTAAATAGAAACGCATGTCACAGAACTGCACTGATAGCTGCTGTTTCCTTACATAATTGAGGGTGTGCCTTCCCCTAATCATGACCAAGTCTCCCTTTATAGTCCTTCATATTCACCTTGGCTGATAGGTTGAAATAAAGCTGGGACCCTTGCATCGAGAGTCTGATCAGTTTTTCTTTATGGGTTTCTTCATTTTACGTCCAGGTTATCATCTCCTGTGGGATGTATTGGTCTTCAATAATCTGCTTAGTCAGAAGTCTGAAGTAACTTAATTTATAACAACAAGAAAAATCTTCCACTATCTTTCTCCCTGGATCAACAGGGTTTCCCCATTCTTATGACATAAACCTACCCACCGTCACCAAATGCTATATAACATTTTGAGCTATAGCATTTGCCTCTAAATAGTCTTTTTTTAAACAGATCAGACAGCATTATGCATCTCACGTGGTGCTGAAAAATAACATTCTCTGGCTTTACATAGTGTTGGCTATTGCATTATAAATTCCCACAATATAGGAGGATGGTGACAGAAGTATCAAGTCCCACCCATTCTTTACTATCTAGAGAATACTTTATGTTTCCTGCTTATTTATAATGGAATTTTTAATCATTGTATCACTCAAATGTGGCAAGTATTGATTTGGTATCTAAAATACTTCGTTATTCTGGAATGCTTTTTCTGCTTCAAGAGAATCCACAAAGTTGCTACATTTTCTCTTAAGATGGAATGGAATAGAAATTTAATAGAAGTGTTGATTGACACAGATGTGTTTCTTTTTCTTTACAGTTTTCCATCAAAAATTGGGAATCATGCCCTTTCATACAACATAGTTGTGGTAAGTAGAAGTAAAAGTGTTTGTTCATCATTAAGAATTGATCCCTCACTTTTTAAGAGATAATGAGTAGTTACATTTACATTAAAGAGTCAAGCTTTTTATTTTTGAATAATGGTTCAGTTCAAACTCCTTTGATTTGGATATTTGAGACACGATTTGTTGAAGTGAAAGAACACTGGAACAGAAGCAAAAAATACCTGAGATGAAGACTCACCTCTTACCATCAACCTAGTGTTGACTTTGGATAAACTACTTAATCTCTTTAGCATCTGCATCCTTACTTGTGAAATGAGAGGTTTAAATTACAGTTTCCTTCCAGCTGTAAGAGTCCGTATCATTATTTATTATACAGAAGTAATTTTCATTAAACATCTTAGAATTTAGATTTCTATCTTTTAAACATTTTATTATTTTATAACACCAGAAATTAAGAAATGTTATGCCTAATATCCCACTAACAGTGTCCTTTGCTGGATTGGCAAGTACAACATGGCTATATGTTGTACTAAATACGCTATATGCTGTTGCTAAAGCTATAGCAATTCTGCTATGGTGCCTCTTAAAATTCTGCCCTAGACTAATATGTTATATCTTCTAATTAAACCTTAACAATGAGCATGCAATCAAGAATCATTAAACATTGAATCAACAAATACAAGTTTAGCTATTTATTGAATAAAGTATACCTGTGAAGTCAATGTGACCTAGATTTTAGTCAAGTATGAATCTACCTATCTATCATCTCTCTCTCTCTCTCTCTCTCTCTCTCTCTCTGTATCTATCATGTCTGGGTATATATTTAGTCAAATTATTTTTAAATTTTATTTTTAGTTATTATGGATACATAATAGTTGTACATATTTCTGGGGTATGTGTGATGTTTGGATGCAGGCATACAAAGTGCAATGATCAAATCAGGGGGATTGTGGTATCCATCACCTCAAACATGTATCATTTATTTGTGTTAGGAGCATTCCAATTCCACTATTTCATTTCTCTAAGATATATGATAAGTTACTGTTAGCTATAGTCGCCCTATTGTGCTATCAAATACTAGATTTTATTCATTCTATCTAACTGTATTTTTGTAGTCATTAACCATCTCTACCTTATGCCCCATATTTTTGTATCCATTAATTATTCAAGTTTGTTGTATTGTTTTTCAGTGAAAATTATAGAGGATATTGGTATTCGATTTACCTACAACCTGGGACAAAATTGACCCCACTGATTTATTTCTTCCTAGGTCCATCTTTTCTCCGGGGGTAGTGGAAAGATGAGGATCATCAGAGAACCTAGGGTGTGATATCAGCTCTCCAGTACCAAACACAGTTCATTAACCTCTCAGAACCTCAGGTGTCTTGGGGCATAGTTCATGTCTCCTGGCCCATCTCACAGGATTATCAGGAGAATGAATGAGATAAGTGAGTGCATTGTGTAAACTGTGAAGTGCTAAATAAATGCAAGGTAATGCAATACTATGTGAAGTCTTCACTCAAGCTATTAGTTCATTAGTATACACTCAGCAAATGGGTTTGAGTACCTGGTACGTGGCACAGGCACTGTTTTAAGCATTGGGAATCAGCAGTCAAAAAGGCAGATAAAACTGTCTTGGGGCAGTAGGAAAAAGGCATTAAAAAGATAAATAAAAGGTTTCAAATAATCATCATTCATAAGAAAATTAAAATAAGATGCTTTGAGAATTGAGGAACAATTATAAATGGTCCTCTCTGTGAGGAGTGATTTTCAAGCTAAGACCTGGACGAAAAGATGGTATGAGTCAAATCCCTCAGGGAAGAGCATTCCCTTGGAAGGGAAGAATAAGTACAAGGACCCTAAGGCAGGAACCAGTTTCATGTTTGAAGAACACAAATAATCTCTGTGACTGTAAGTGAGGGTAAAGGTGAGGTGAGATAATTTAAATGAAGTAGAATTTGCATTCCCCAGAAAACGACAGAATGTTCTAGAATTTTGGTATAGTGTAGACTAAAGATGTTTTTCACATGAAATGGTGCAGCTGCTCTGTCTTAAAAAGATTCAGAGTAAATCCTGGGGGCCAACTGCTCTACACAGGTTAATAAAAACTTCATGACACCTATATGCTATTTCCTGAAGACTTATTTTGGGGAAGTTGGACTTCAAAGGAGAAATCATAACCAACATGTTTTCATCATTAGGTGAAAGCCAGTTTCCTTTGTGAGAGTACCATAGAAGAAGCTTCAAGTTTTCTGCCCATCAAGTTTGTCAGACAGTATTTCTGTTCAGGAGCAGGTAAACTACCCAGTGTCTAAAGCTACTCCCATTATGCCTAGATGCCCATAGCAATTTTTTTTCTTCAACGATAGGTGTCACTAAGAGGTAGTTGGGGAACACTAAGACCGACTTGCTTCAAAAGGATCTCAAATCATTCAGTCTATCAACCACAAGGGCACCCTATTCCCTCCTTCCCCACCTCCTGCCCAGCCCTGACTTCAGCCTGTTTTCAAGAAAGGCAATATAGCAGCAGCCATTTTTTTGTTTTGTTTTGCTGTCTTTGCCTCAGACTCCCTGCCCTAGCCTAGGAGAAGCAGTGTCCCAAACCCTGCCATGACCAATACACAGGCGCTTTTCACTTAACTTTAAGTCAAATTCCAATGATTCAGCAATGTGAAAACAAGCATCAAAGGGAGAGGCAGTGTGGGAGAGCAGCAAAAGCACTGGATTGGCAGGCAAGGAGACAGAGTTCAGCTTTAGATGTGCCTACTTCCGGAGCCTCAGTTCCCTTGTGTGTATAATCAGGATGAAAATATTTCCCTGCTGTTCTGGCAAGGTTCTAAAGGGAATTAAGTAGCTGTTATCTGCAGAAAGCACTTTGTGAAGCTAGGCTGCTATATAAGAATGGAGTGGGGAGAAATGGAGTAGTTCCAAATTGGCGAGTTTGTTTTCATTGACTACCAGGTATGGGAAGGGCACTGAAGAAGCAAGACAGGGGCTGAGAATTTGAAAAATATGCCCTTTGCCATGAAGACACTAGAATTTATGCTAGGGAGCAGAGATCATGTATTAAGGGGCTACTGTATGGCACAGCTCTGGGAGGCACTGTTTGCACTGTAGTCTACGCATACATTTGAAAGGGTTAAGAAAGAACATAAGTCCACTCAATTAAAGGATAGGCAGTAAGTGATGGAGGATCTCAGTGGCTGGAGACATTGAAGAAAGGTGAAAAGAAGGGATAAGACTTCAGCTACTACGTAGAAAAGGAAACCTTCTGATGGGAACAAGAATAGACACAAAAGATCTCCAGTAAATTTAAGAACATGAGACTAATTGGGTGTCCTTTCAGTAAGGGTACGAGAAAGTGGTGTGACTTTTTTGTTCTTTTCCAAAGTGGTTTTTTTTTTTTTAATATGGAAATAGTTTGGGGACTTTAAAAAATAATATTATGGCACCTGCCTATTCTTTCTCAATTCAAATGAAACTCAGCATCTGTTCTAAAGCACTAGGAAAAGCCAAGAGGAGAATGAAGTGCCTGACAGCTAAAACCTTTGTGTTCTTATCTTTTTACAGTATAATTTTTATTGACCCATGATCTGTTAACTTCTGTTCCTCATTCAATATAAAAAGATGATGACACAAATGTCTTTCAAAGCCTTTATATATGTTCAAATGCAGTAAAGGCCCTGTGGTTGCTGTCAAGCTAAGGGATTCAATATCCCTGAGAACATCCATTCCAATAACACTGGCCACTCAGAATGTGTGTGTGTCTGCGAGAGCACACACATGTGCATGCATGTAAATTCTGTGTCTAAAATAGTACAGTCCATGAAAACTGTCTTACTCTTCAATAAAATTCAGACATTTAGGGCTTCACAAGGTCCAGTATTTCTTAACATTATAAGACAAAAGAAGTTGAATTAAAGAATTTAGTTCATGGTTTAATTTGTAATTTCAAAATTACATTCGCATCTGAGTGTTAACTGTATTTGAGTAAATAAATGAGCAAAAAAGACTTAAGCATTTCTGTGAAACTGGGTCAATCAAGACAAATTTTTACTGTGATTCACTTTTTGGTCCCTCTTTTACTGTATAGCCTTTGATTTTTTTAAATGGCCCCATGTTTTATTGTTGACATTTTATTTCAATATCTGATTTGAAAACAGCAGACAGAGCCCCTGTGAATTTTAAAGAGATATCTGCTTTCTTTCATCACAGCTGCTCAGCCTTGGTGGATTGGCTGGGATTTTTTTTTTTTTTTTGATTATTATTGTATTACTTGTGAGAGGAGAAGGAGACAATGCAAACCAATATTCTGATGATAAAGATTTGGCAATCGAGTCATGTCATCATGTCTCTTTTCTCTTCCTCATCGGAGTTTTATGCAAAAGCAGAAACAGTGACTTTTTTCAACACCTGCATCTTTAACAACCAGAGCAGTGTAATTACCTTTCTTGAATATTCTATAGAATTGTCAAACAGCAATTTTCTTTTACAAGGGTGGCTTTTAAATAATGTCGTTTACATACAGAGTTTAACGTCTCTTAAAGTGAAAATCTAATTATAAGAAACTAAAATTTACTGCATGTTTATAATTTGATCCTTATAAAATTGCTAATCACGGCACCTTTAACATATATTATGAAGCAGAAAAAGTACATATACTCAGATTAAACTAAATATTTTGGAGTTTCTTGAATATATGTTAATTTCTATCACTATTACTGTTATTAACACTATTTGGTATTTTATGCATTGCTCTTGAATTCAACAATTTGTGGAGAGAGGTGGCTCACAATGACATGTTTTCTCAAGATCATCTGATGTCATCGTTTCCTCTTTGTTAATGAAAAGTATCAATATTTAAAAAGAACTGTCATTGTAGTTTATGTATAGACAATAAATGGTAAGTCAAGCAAGCTGAGATAATTCTTCCAATGGACACATTAGATAATAATGCCAATACTAAATAATATTAGAATTTAGGTAATGTACTGCCATTTGATAAAGTGGTTCATGTCCAGATTGTATACACACTTATCATCTTTGGCATCTGACTTTATAATTTTTGAAGTGCAGATGGGATTGTCAACCACTGGAAGGAGTGACACTTCAATATTTTACTACAAGGTGAATGTTAAAGTGAAAATTTTAACGTATCCCCACATTGTTTCATTCTGGAACAAGCTCTAAATTAATGTTATGTAATGTTATGAAATGTTATGAGCACACCTATAAACCTATCGCTTACAAAAAGATTAAAGAGTATGT